ATAATCCAGTTTAAGAATGGGTAGAGTCCTTGGATAAGCAAAGCACTGCTTAAAAAGAAGAACAAAGTTGGAGACCTCTGACTCTCTAATTTCAAAATTTACTACATGGCTAACCATGGTCAAAACAGCCTGGTACTGGTACAATGAAAGATACACAGATCAATGGAATAGATTTGAAAATTCAGAAGTTAACCCATCCGCATACTGCCAACTAATCTTTGACAAAGGGTCAAAGTACACTGAATGGGGAGGAGATAGTCTCTTTAACAGATGGTGCTGGCAGAACTGGAAATAAGTATGCAAAAGAATGAAACAAGACCTTTATCTCATAAGATATATGAAAACCAACTCAACATGGATTAAAGACCAAAATGTAAATCCCAGAACTATAAAGGTTATCAGTGAAAAAATAAGGACAAATTTAAGAGCTCTAATACATAGACTATCAGACATTGTGAGAATTGCACAAAACAAAAGAACACGAAATAGATGATTGGGACATACTAAAAATTAGAAACTTATATGCATCAAAAGATTTCACCAAAAGAGTAAAAAGGGACCCACAAATTGGGAAACATTTTTTTTGCAATGACATTATCAGACAAGGGACTAATCTCTAAAACCTACAGGAAACTACAACACCACTACAAGAAAAAGACAAATAACCCAATTTAAAAATGGGCACAGGATGTGAATAGACACTTCACCAGGGAACACATTTAAGCAGACAATAAACATATGAAGAAATGTTCACGATCACTAGCCATTAGAGAGATGCAAATCCAAAGAACAATGAGATATCATCTCACACCAACAATAACAGTGAAGTCCAAAAAAGCAGAGGGCAATAAATGCTGGTGAGGATGTGTAAAATGTAGAACCCTCCTACATTAGTAGTGGGACTGTAAAATGGTTCAACCACTCTGGAAAATGGTATGGAGCTTCCTCACAAAGTTGGAAACAGAAATACCTATGATCCAGCAATTCCTCTACTTGGTATATAACCACAAGAAATATGAGCCAGAACACAAGTAGACATATGCACACCAATGTTTATCAAAGCACTTATTCACAATAGTAAAAAGATGGAAACAGACTAAGGGCCCATCAATGGAAGAAAGGATAAACAAACTTTGGTGCATACACACAATGGTGCATACACACTATGCTACCTTGAAGAATAACAATGAAGCTGCAAAACGCCTCATAACATGGATGAACCATGAGGACATAACACTGAGTAAAATTAGTCAAAAAAGGGCAAAAATCTTGCATAAGACCATTATTGTAAAAGTTTAAGAATAGATGTTCACACTCTAAGAAAAAAAATCTTTGTTGGTTACCAGGGGTGGGAGGGAGGGGACAGTAAGGTACAACAAGTTAGGGGATAGTCACATCATAGCTCAGGTGATGGGGAGAGCAATATACAAGGAAGGGTAGGGCAATACAAGGGGGAGTGGGGTTGAAGAACAAGGAAGATAGGGGAAGACTTAAGTAGGTTTGCATGGGCTAAATGGGACAGAGATAAATAGTGATGTATACTCAACCTTGGAAGAACAGAGCTCTGTGATACAGGGATCAAGGCACAGTTTGAATGGGTAAAAGAGGAGAATGAATGTTAAGGTACCTGACTGCCTTATGGATATTGGTTTCCTTTGCCTACTACTGTAAAATGGACATTAGAGTCAGCTAGAAAGGAATATCAGGAAATATGATTACAGAAAGCTTTAAGCCCGTCTTCAGTCTGTAACTGACTAGAATACCTAAAAGGGGTTCTAGAACTTGCCCAGTGAAATAGGCTTCTTGTGGCGCCTATAGAGTATAGGGCCTTCAGTGGAATTCTGAGCCCCATCCAGAACCTTCTGAGGTGGGATTTTCTCATTTGAAAGGACATGCAGACCAACCTGGAGCAGCTAGAGGAACAGAAGATACGTCTTGAAAGAAAGACCAGCAAAAAAAACCCCACAACAAGCAGTGATGACTGAGATGGAGGCAGAGACGATGACGTGGAGAGATGTAGCAACTGGGGGTTTTAGACCCAGAGAGGGAGAGGGGCTGTGTGATGACCGGGGCATGGGGGGCCAGGCTTGTAGGTTCGTTGGTTGATGATGCATGGAGGGGATAGTAACCATGGCAATGAAACGACATACGATAGGATGAATGTAAAACTGATGTTCTCCCATGTAAACTATCTCATAATTCACAACAAAAACATTAATTAAAAAAACAAACCCCACAACAAAACAAAAAAAACACACACAAAAAACAAACTGTTTGGCTATTACAAGAGCAAGCAAGCTGTTCACTTGGGTGCCAAGGAAAGCTATCAAGTCCCTTCAGGACAAAGCCTTCCAAGACCGAAACTCAAATGGAACACACGAGCAGGCTTGTAAGCTTGATGGTGACTGCGTTGGTCTACTTGTGAGTGGAAATGGGGGAAAGGTAGTAATGAATAATATATGGGCTAAGTTCAACCACATTCCATAGACTTCCATAGACCTGGAGATGAGAGAGAGAAGAGGAAGGGCTGATTGGTCCAAAGTTTGGGGAGACTTGGGAACTTGGGGGGAAGTAGTTAATTTTACATTCCAGGAACAGAGGACCCTAGGATCATCAAGAGGGAAGAACATGAGCAAAGCATGGGATTCTAACCAGAGACTGAGGCAATGGCATATAGAGAGCAGCTGAGGACTCTAGACTCATGGAAAGAGAAAGGCTATGTGCAGATGACCAGGAGGCAGGCTTGTAGAATGTGCCCTTTGGTTGTTTAAATGACGATATATTCCTGAGTGTTTCTGTATACATTAAAAAAGAGAGAGAAAATAGAGGCAAATATTGCTAACCGATGGAGCAGGGAGGGTAGTGGAACCACTGCAATAAAACCAAATACAACTGGTTCAGTGCAAAACTGATGTTTTGCCATGTAAACTATCACTCAATTTAAAATAAAAGCTTTAATAATAATTTTAAAATGGGTAGAGGACATGGACCCTTCACCAAAGAAGACATTAGAAGACATTCAGGTAGTCAATAAACATGAAGAAATGCTCAAAATTGGTAGCTATTAGAGAGACACAAATCAAAACAACAATGAGATTATCATCTTACTCCAGTGTTAATGGCTAAGTTCCAAACACAACAAATGGTGACAAACGGTGTGGAGACTGAGACTGGAATCTCCCTACACTGTTGGTGGGACTGTAAAATGGTGCAACAACTGTGGAAAACGGTATGGCACGTTCTCAAAAAGTTGGAAACAGAAATACTATATGACCCAGCAATCCCTCTATTTGGTGTACAGCCTCAAGAAATAAGAGCTATATCTAGACACGATTAGCTATATGCACACCTATGCTCACTGCAGTACTTGGCACAATAGAAAATAAGATGGAGACAGCCTAAATGCCTATCAACAGAAGAATACTTACAGAAACCTTGGTACATACACACGATGGAATATTATGCAACATTCAAGCAGATGGTAGAACCTGCAAAAACACTTCGCAATACCGATGGAACCTGGAGGACATTATGCTGAGTGAAATTAGTCAATCACAAAAGGACAGTTACTGCATGAGACCACTTTAGTAAGAAATAAAGAAAAGATTTTCTTGCTAAATTAAATATTCTATGATGGTTACAGGGTGAGTGGGGCTGGTAGGGGAGGGCAAAAATAAAGTGACAAGAGGTAAATACTGTTTAAAAGGGAAAAAAATACCACCTTTTACATATATATATATATTGTAGTCAAGATGGCTTAACAAAATAAAAACTTTTTAAGAACCTCTCTTACTTAAAAGAGAGAGAAAGCCATGTTTGTAAAGGGACAACTTTAAAAATCTGAGTAGCAACTGGCCCATTAACAAATGAAAACTATGAGAAAAGCACCACTGGTATATTGCACTAAAAAAGCTATAGACTATTATTTGTTTCTTGTAGCTGTAAGGTGCCACCGAGGCAGTACCGACTCATAGACACCCTAGGCCCAACAGAATGAAATACTGGCCGGTCCTGTGTCAATGACACAATTGCTGCTACATTTGAGCCTATTGCTGCCATCAATGTGCCAATCCATCTCACTGGGGGTCTTCCTCTTTCTCTCCACTTTATAAAACATGGGATCTTTCTCCAGGGACTGGTCTCTCCTGACAATATGTCTGAAGTATGAGAGATGAAGTCTGCCCATTCTAGGTTCAAGGAACATTCTGGTTGTACTTCCAAAAAAGATGAGTTTGTTATTTTAGCAGTCCATGGTAGTTTTAAAATGCTCCTCCAGCACTGTATCTTAAGTGCATCCATTCTCCCATGGTTTTCCTTATTCACTGTCCAACTTTCACATGCATATGAGTTCACTGAAAATACCATGGCTTGGGTCAGGCGCACCTTAGTCCTCAAACCGACATCTTTGCTCTTGAATGCTTTACAGAGGTCTTGTGCAGCAGATTTGCCTAATGCAGTATGTCAAACTGACAAACAAGTGGTGAGTAATAAATAAATACTATTATTTCTAAGGGAAAGCCCTGCTGGTGCTGTAGGGTGAGCACTGGACTGGTAGCCTCAAGGTTGGCAGTTCAAACTCAACAGAGAAAATAAGGCTTTCTACTCTCTTAAAGTTTGGAGTCCTGGTGTGGCATTGTAGAATAATGTGCTGGACCGTAAGGCTGGGCTTTCAAACATCCCAGCCGCTCCTCAGAAGCCCTATTGGTTGATATGGGTTGGAACTGACTCAATAACACTTAACAACAACAAATATTTAGAAATATTATTCAGAAAAAGGAGTCCTGGTGTGATGCTGTAAGATAAGCACTGGACTGTAAGGTTGGTTTGAACTGCAAGGTGGAGGTTCAAGCCCACCACCTGCTCTTAGGAAACCCTATACAGGGTTACTATGGGTCAGATCTGACTCAACGGCACTTAACAACAATTATTTAGAAATAGTCTGTAATACTCTCAACTCATATACTTGATGAGGACTCTTCAACATAGAGAAATATACGTACTCTCCTCTGGATCCTCACTAGGTTGGATGTTGCTGGAAATTTCCTGTACAGCAGCTCGTGATTCAGCTGTAGACCGATGAGGCCCCAGGTGACTATCCCTCTGGGCTTCCCACTCTTCACTGAAACCTCCATCATCATTCTCTGCAACCGAGTTTTGGGACTCGTTTTCTGTACCTTCAAGAAAAAGTAGAAATTACAGCCCTTAATATTTAGAACAATTTCTTAATATCTTTAAGAAAATTACATGGAAGCAGTAACCACTCTACAATTTAAGGTTAACTGGCTCTTAAAATCACAAATCACGGACTCTAGCAGTATCCGTTGGTTGCCTATCTAACATTCATTCCCCTTTAGTCTCTGAGTGCAGAGCTCTGATTTTGCTTAAGCTTCTACCCTTCCAGCAGTAAATCCTGAAATATCTAAGCTGAGCATGTCTTAGATATCAGATTATAGGGTTGTACAAGTTTCTCTCATACTTTGGACATATTGTCAGGAGGGACCAGTCACTGGAGAAGGATACCATGTTTGGTAGGATGGAGGGTCAGAGAAAAAGAGGAAGAACCCCAACAAGATGGACTGGCCAAGTAGCAGCATCGATGGACTCAAGCGTGACAACCGTAGTGAGGTTGGCCCAGGATCGGGCAGTGTTTCGTTCTGCTGTGCTATGAGTTGGTGCCGACTCAATGGCACCTAACAACAACAACGAGCCAATAAATAGAGAGGGATAGGGTGCTAGGAATTTCTGGGGAAACTTCATTGTTTAAGACTGAAGGAACTAACAGCCCCTCTTCTTCCCCTGGTTGTTGTCTTACCTGAATCTGATGCCTGGAACTGCAGTTGTCATCTTGTGATCATGAAGGGGGGCTGGGCTGAGGATGAAGCCTATACGCTAAGGATGGCTGACTAAGAAGATGGGAAGAACATGAGCCCTTGATATCACTAAGCCACAAAGTGAAACAATCCTTGTTACTGTTGTTAGGTGCTGTCGAGTTGGTTCTGACTCTGTGCACAACAGAACGGAACACTGCCTGGTGTTGTGCCATCGTCACCATGGTGGCTAAGTCTGAGCGCTTTGCTGCTGCCACTGTGCCAATCCATCTCCTTGGCAATCTTCCTCTTTTTCACTGACCTGCCACTTTACCAAGCTTGATGTTCTTTTCCAGGGACTGGTCCCCCCTGATAACATGTCCGAAGTGAGACAAAGTTTCACCATCTGGGATTCTGAGTAACAATCTGGCTGCACTTCCTCCAACACAGATTGGTTTATTCTTTTGGCAGTCCATAGTACTTTCAATATTCTTCTCCAAAACCATAATTCAAATACATCAATTCTTCTACTGTCCTCCTTATTCACTGTCCAAGTTTCACATGCATATGAGACTATTGAGAAAACATCATGAGTTGGGTCAGACTCACCTTAGACCTCAAACTGTTTTCTTTGCTCTTTAACAGTTTAAACAGGACTTGTGCAGATTCACCTAATGAAAATTCATCCTTTGATTTCGTGACTGCTGCTTCCATGGAGTGCTGACTGAATAGCCAAGCAAAATGAACTCTTTGAAATCTTTTCTCCATTTATCATGATGCTATTTACTGGTCCAGTTGTGAGGATTTTTGTTTTCTTTACATTGAGGTACAAACCATACTGAAGGCTGTAATCTTTGATGTTCATTGCTAAGAATTTTATGTCCTTTTCCTAAAAGAGTTTACACTCCAGAACTCCTTGTCATGTGAGAGGAGAATAGAGATTCTCATTGGAGGCAAGGGAATTGGGGCTTTATTCTTTGCAGCTGTAGGTTTCCAAAGTGGTGGCACTAACCACTGACTTTGGTGGCTAAAAAGCCACCATAATAAAAGTAGTTTCATTATGGCAAGGATGTGTAAGGGAGCAGTGAAATTTTTTTTATGAGTCAGTCTTTCCTTTTTAATGATCATCAATCCCATTTAATGGTCTCATGGTTGTATATGTAGAGCCCTGGGGACACAGTGGTTAAGTAAGCACCTCACTGCTAAACAAAAGGTGCTTACCAAACGATTACCATCTGAACTCACCAGCTGCTCCTCAGGATAAAGCTGTGGCAGTCTGTTTCCGTACAGATTTACAACCTTGGCAGTTCTACTCTGTCCTAGATGGTTGCTATGAGTCAGAATCGACTTGCAAGCAATGGGTTTGGTTGGTTTGGTTGTATATACTTGAAAATCATGAGCATAATGATAGTCTTAATAACTTTTCATGTATTAAAAATAATTACAGCACACAAGTGAAGTACGTAACACTCTTTTCCTCATTTGATTTTGATAAAAGTAACACATGTTCATAGCAGAGGTAGATTACCCATTCTTAACTAATAAAGCTTATACTTTAGAGCCCTCATTTGCATAGATTTCTTCTGGAATATGTCCTAGCAATTTTATATCTGTAATTTTGTATTAGCATTCTGAAAGAACTAGCCCCACGAAGTTTATATGCATTAGGCTCCATCATCTGAATCTTTCCCTGGTACAGAGTTTACAAAACTGTGTAAGCACGAGGTTTATACAAAAAGCAGCAGTTCCCAGTCCACCCCAGCCTTCTCACTGCTGCTCCTCACCTCCACTTCCAACAGCTTCAGCTGCTAGTCACTACCATACTTAATTATACAATTACATAGAATTATAAAAATCTACATCTGAATGTTCTGATTTTAGGTACATATGGTATTCACTTGTTATAGGGAAGATGCAGCATCAGCTTTCATATTCCTACAAACTTAACTCTCTCCTTGTTGCCAGTGGGTGCTGTGATGCTGGAAGCTATGCCATTGGTATTTTGAGTACAAGCAGGGAAGGAGAGGCTGACCACTAGCGAATGGTCAGCCACTAAACCTTAGGAATGGAGAGTTCTGGCAAGATGACAGATTAGGCAGATGCAATATATGGACCAACTTCAACAAAGCTACGAGCGAACAAATGAAACATACACAGATGACAATCCTGGAACCTCCAACTTCAGAGGAAAGGTCAGAGAGTGGCCTAAGTGCCTGCCAGGAGGAAAAGCAGAGCAGGGATAGCAAGAGAGGCAGACTAACTGGTAAACGGATGGCCACAACCATCCTGTGAGCAGCTCTGGCAATAGAAGGGGGCCTAGCAGAGCAGATTCAGACAACCAGAATGGTGAAAGTCCTTTGTTTTCTCCATGCTCCCCTGGTGACCACAGATGTGGCCAAGTCCCACCCTCTCCATTCCTAGCATAGACCCTGCCCTCTCTAGGAGTTCAGAGCCTTGTGGTCAGGAACCACACCAGTGTGAGGCAGGTGCCGGCTGTGACACTTCGGTGGCCTGAATTGGTGTCAGGATTCAGGCAGGCTCAGTTTCAGACCTATAGAACCCACAGAGCCACCAGACCAGCATTTAACCAGCTGCTTTGTGGTCCTAACAGACACTGAAATCAACTCCACCAAGGGCCCCCACAAGCTACTTCTGGTTGGAGTTCCAACAGGAACTCCATCTAGTGCCAGGAACACATTGCTCTCACACTCACTTCATGAGCTTCTAGGGGCCCCAACTTTTTGTCTCTCTGGGTGTTTTTATGTTTGCTTTTTACTTTCCTTGTTTCATTTTTTGCTTATTCTTTCTCCTCCTTTTCTTTGAATTTTATCTCTTACATTTAAAATGACACCGAATTTTATCTTTTCTATCTCAGCTCTTCTTTTTCTTTCTATTCTTTGTTTTCATTTACCTTTTTCCTTTTGAACTTTATTCCTCTTTTTTTATCTTCCCTTTCCCTGATTTTCTGTGTTTTTAAAACTTTCTTCCTGTTATTTTCTTTTTTCTCTTCTATAGCTCCATTTTCCTGTCCCTCATCTCTTTTTAGTTATTCTCGTGTTTTTATTTTTTATTTTATTTATTTTAAGGTTTTTATTGTGGATTACGTGAAAGTTTTCAGGGCACATCATCGGTTTCACATTCAAACATTCATATACCTTGTTTCATTACATTGATTATAATCCCATCCACATACCATCAGTTAACAGAGTTTCTCTCTATCCTCTTAGCTTTTTTCGGGGGGGGGAACTTTGCCTTTTTGGAATTTACAGTCTCGGCTTTTAGGGAAGGTTTTTACATTTATCTGTGGATATCCAGGGCTCATGTATGGAATTACTAACCAGCATAACTGAATAATCAGATGAGGGACATTTTGCTATGTCTGCTAGGTGGCTAAAGTCTGATCCTCAGAGCCTATGGTTTGGACGGTCAGCAACGCTTGGACCCACAGGGCCTTGAACTCCTGACCGGGTCTGCACGGTCTGCATCAGATTCCCCCTTATTATTTGTTTAAGGGACGCTGCCTGTCTTAGGCGGTCAGTGCGCATTCCTCAGTCTTACCCGTCATAGAGACTCATTGCATCATGTGTTTTTATTTTTAATTTCCTTTTATTTTCTCTCTTGATTTCTATTCTATACGTACATTTTCCTGTCCCTCTTTTGTCTTTATAGTTATAATTATCTTTTTCCTGACTGTAGTCTGTTTTCATGTCTTTTTTCTCTTTATTATTTTCTATTTTCATTGTTGGTTGCTCAATTGTTTATTTTCTTTTGTTTTCTGAGTGTGTGTATGTGTGTGTGAAGTTTTCTCTTTCCCATTCAACAGAAAACAGCAGCCATGCCCATACAGCCCAAACACAACTGTACCCTCTCTGCAGTTTCACCCATAATACCAGCTCTTGTACCACCTGATCAATAATAGAAGCCAACACCAGCCAACCCCATCCTAAGCTGAGATGCACAAATGGCGAACCAGAATGGTGTATATGGCTCCATTCTCTAACTACACCCATAGAAACCAGTTGTTGAGAGACTAAGAAAACACCAATATACAATCATCAATTGAATACAAATACAAGAACCACCACAATGCCCCGGGGACAACAGATAATTTTAGCTTACACGAAGAAAAAAGAACGGGTCAAGCAAATGACTAAGACACAGAGCTAGAAAACTTTTCTGAGAATGAAAACGTAATGAACTAACTGGAAAACAATTCAAATGAATAATATTTAGGCACCTTCAAAGGACTGGTAGAAAGAAAGAAAGAGGAAAGCAAAAAGAACACATAAAATTTTTTAGAAGAATTCAGGTATACATAAAGAGAACAAGAACAAACAGAGAAAAACAAATATAAATTTTGAAACAGT